CTCAACCAGCAAAAACCCTTGTCCCTTCCTGTTATTGCTCATACTCTCTCTACAACAAAATTAGAAATAAGGGCAAAATAGTTTCTGCTGGATATTGAGGGGGGGGAGAGGGAGGGGGCGGAGAGGGTGGTAAGGGAGGGGGTGGGGGCAGGGGGGAGAAATGAACCAAGCCTTGTATGCACATATGAATAATAAAAGAAAAAGGAAAAACAAAAAAAGTGCTTGTGCTTTGATAAAATACATATATGTGTGTAAACAACTATATTTATGTATGTAAAATATACATAAATACATATTTGTAACACATATGTTGCTCATAAATATGAGTAGATATATAAAAGTCACAGTGAGAGACTATATCTATAGCTCACCCAGTATCTCACAATTGTAAGCAATTGTTCAAATAAGCCAGCACAGACATAAATGTGCATTTATTTTTTCTCTAAATCTGCCAAAGTAACAGACACAAATATAAACACATATTTGAATGCTGTTATCTATATCATACTCATAAAAATACCTTTCCCAACAGTACTCATTTAGCTTGTGTAATTTGCAAGCTAGAAACTTGATTTTATGTTCTCTGAACTGAGAAATTTTATGTATAGCTGCATTCCTATTCCTACTACTGCTTTCGGTTCATGATAAGTTTATAATACGTAGTTGTTACAAAAATATATTTACAAATAGTGCTAAGAAAGTTTTGGAATATAGAAAGAAAGATTTATATTCACCCTTAATTTTTTTAAATAGACATAGTTTAAAACATATAGGCTAATAATTTGCATGCTCACACTTTAACATTATACAGTTTAAACAAATGAATTTTAAACCCTGAGTGAAGGAATATGGAATCACTAAAACCCTGAAATCATAAATTTGTGTGTGTGTGTGATGGACAGAATACTTTTCCCAACTGTGAAGGAATTCGTTAGGTAAAGCAAGAAAATATTTTAATTTCTAAATGAGAAAATTGATCTACATAAGATGAAAAAATTCCTCAATGGTACATAGATAATTGTACTAGAAATATGTGTTCTCAACCTACATGATTACCTTCATCAAGACTTTTAGTAAAGCTTAAAATTACTATTTTTAAAGATGAAATAGAATGGATAGTAAAATAGATATGTAATTGCTTAGAGAAATTCTATATACTTTAATTTGGGGGTATATTCTTTCCTGGAGTGTCCTGTGCAAGTGGTAACTGAAACTTTCTGACAGACACTATAATGTAAGCTTTTTATAATGCTTTGTGTTTGACAGATAAGTTCATATATTCATTACCTTTATGAAACATAAATTCCTCTGATTTTATATTCTTTCAAGCTCACTTTCAAAGAAATAGCAAACGTACAGCTTCATAGTACCAACTGAAAATAAGACTTACCTAATACTTTACTGTAAAACTGATTCCACTTCTTCTCATTAAAAATTTGGAACCAAAAATCAAAATACAACAAGTACATCATATTTTTTACCCTCTGCATGAATGTCATCTGATCAGTTAATTCTGAGAAAACAACAGGCACATAGGAGGGAGGGATTGGAAGTCCTCCACTGTACTTCTCCAGTGTGTAGCCAGGAAAGAAGCGGTGACTATACACAAAGGGTGTTTTAAGTAGCCCAGCCAGCAGGTCACCACAGGGACTGAAGGCATCTGCTAGAATTATGTCAAATTTTGATTCCTGTAATTTTATCATAAATTTCTTGTTTAAAACTACCTCTTTACAGAGTTCCAGAAAATAATCAGAATCTTTCCAAACAATTTCTTGCAACACTGAAAAATATGTCCAAAATGATTCTTTTGGCAGCTCATATATAACTTTCTTGAGTGATTCCAGGAACAGATCTTCCACATAATCACTGGAAAATGCTGAAGGGTAAGTTTCAAAATTAATAGCAGATGACTTTTCAGCATCAAAAAACACAGAAGCTGAAGATACCAGAACAGTCACCTCATGACCCCTCTGCACAAGTTCATCCAGGATTGTTTTTAAATTGATCCAATGGCTGTATTCCATTGGCCACACCAGCACCTTTCCACAGCTTCCAGAGTCGAAGTAACTACTCAACTGTAGCAGGAGCAGAACTGCAATTGTTTTCATAGCCATCTTGGTAAAAAGCAGTACTTCCTTTTCAGGTTGTGTTTACTCTGCTCCTGCTTATGACCAAGGAGAAATCATCAGTTTGTTAAAGTATAACTTGTACACACCAAAGTAAACACATACATGAATACTCAGAGTATCTGGATGCCAAGTAGAAAAATCGAAAGGTAGCTAAACTCATGTTTATGTGAATGTGTATAATGACTCATGATTACAGGTGCTTTTCTGCAGTTAAGATGATACGGTAGAGATTTTAGAATAGTGTTGAGAACAGTGGCTAGTGAGACATTCCTTTATTATGTAGCTTCCTAGACATATAACTAGAAATACAGTAACAACATTGCTGAATCAGGATTATTTGACTATCATGTTTCAATAGGTTTTTTCCTATACAAACATTATTGATGTATCAATCACATACCTTACAATTCACCAGTTTTAAGTACATAGTTCAGAAGTTCATAGTACAATCTCAGAATTATAAATCAACCACTGTAATCAAGTTAGAGCATTTTAGTATCCCAGATGAAGCTCTATACTGTTAGCAATTGTGCATGCTCCTGTACTAGGCAATTGCTAATCTGCTTCCTCTACTTATGGCTTTCCTTATTTTGGACATGAAACATGTGGTATTTGTGATTGGCTTACATATTCACAAAATTTTTTTAAAAAGATCACCCATTTATAGCAGCTATTGGAAATTTATTCCTTTAACAGCCAAATCATAGTTCATAGCATAGACCACATTTGCATATTTATTCCCAAGATGATTGACGTTTGTTTTGGTCCTAACTTTTGACTACAATGCATGATGCTATTTATTAACATTCATGTATTAATTTTATGAGGATATGTTTTTATTTCTCTTTGGTAAATAACTAAACATGGTATTGTTGAATCATATGATAATTATCTTTAACTTTTGAGGAGCTAGCAGACTGTTTTACAAAGTGACTATACCAATTTCCATCCCCATAAGTGTATGAGTATTCTTTCTCACATTTGTGCCATTGGTCTATTATTTATCTTCTTGATTATAACTATGGTAAAAGGGACAAAGTGATATTGCATTGTGGTTTTACTTAAATTTCTCTATAATGCTGTTAATCATTTTTCATTTGCCTATGATTATTTGCATATCTTTCTTGGAAATATGTCTACTCAGATCCTTTGGACATTTTTGGTTATTATTTCTGCCTACTATAGGTTTGTTAGCTTTCTTTTATTTATTTTATTGTTGTGCTTGGTAGGGATATCTTGTAGCATTTACAAAGGTTCTTACAGTACATCAAATACATTATACCTGAATTCATCCCCTCCACCATTCACCTTTATCTACCCCCCGATTCCTGGAATAGTTTCAGCAGGCATCTTTTTTCTGTTTACATTTTGTGTACACAGTATTTGCACTATATTCACCCTTTTACACCCTTTTCCCACCTTCTCTCCTCCTCCCAAGGACTTTAGTCCCCCTAGGAAGGACTTGTTCTGCTCTTATGTTCTCTAATTTTGTAAAAGAAAGGAAAAAGAAGTGGCATTTTTGCCTTCTTAAGATAGCTACACAGGGAGTTTCCTTGTGGCACGTCCATGAATATATGATTTGGTTCATCTCCTCTGTTTTTCTTTGGACTTTACTCCCTTTCTTATGGTTGCTTCAAACAGTTTAGAGATTCTATATTCATTCTTATATAGAGAGTACATCAGCCATACTCACCTTAACTTCCTTCTTTTACCCTCTCCTTCTTCTATGTGACCTCCCCTTAGCAATATTTTTAAGAATATTGCTGCATTTGTATTAATTTATATTCAACATATGAGAGAAAAAATATGACTTTTGGCCTTCTGAACCTGGCTAACTTCACTTAAGATGATGTTCTCCAGTTCCATTCATTTATGTGCAAATGAGAACATTTCATTCTTCTTTGTGATTGAATAGAATTCCATTGTACATAAGTACCACATTTTCTTAATCCATTCATCAGTAGTGGGGCATCTTGGCTGTTTCCATAGCTTAGCTACTGAGAGCAGTGCTGCAATAAATATGGGTGTGCAAGTGCCTTTATCTTACATTCCTTTGGATATATCATGAAAGTAGAATAGTTAGTTCATATGGCAGTTCTAGTTTATATTTTTGAGAAGCCTCCATATTGTTTTCCATAGTGTATGAGGGTTTTTTTTATCCACATCCTCACCAACCTTTGTTGTTTGTGTTCTTGATGGTAGCCATTTTAACAAGAGTGAGGTGGAATCTTAATGTGATTTTCATTTGCATTTCCTTTATGGCCAGGGATGCTGAGCATTTCTTCATGTGATTTTTAGCCATTTGGATTTCTTTCTTTGAGAAATCTCTGTTCAGTTCTTTTGCCCATTTCTTCATTGGGTCATTAATTTTGGGGGACTTTAGTTTTTGGGAGCTCCCTATATATTCTGGCTCTTAATCCCTTGTCAGATGTATAGCTGCCAAAGATTTTCTCCCATTCTGTGGGCAGCCTCTTCAATTTAGATACCATTTCTTTTGTTGTACAGAGCCTTTTAATTTCATGTAGTCCCATTTGCCAGTCCTTTCTCTTAGTTGCTGAGCTACTTAGTTCTATTGAGGAAGTCATTGCCTATGACTATTAATTCCAATGTATTCCTTGGTCTTCCTGCACTAGCTTCAAAGTTTCAGGACTTATGTAAGGTCCTCAATCTACTTTAAGTTGATACTTGTACAGGGTGACAGATTTGGATCTTGTTTCAGTTTTCTGCATGCAGATATCCAGTTTTCCCAGAATCATTTGTTAAAGAAGCTGTCCTTTCTTCATCTATGTTTTTGGCATCTTTGTGAAAAATCAGGTGGGTGTAGCTACCTGAGTTCATATCTGCTCTTCTATTCTGTTACACTGGTCTTCATGTTTGTTTTGTGCCAGTACCATGCTGTTTTTATTGCTATGGTCTGTAGTATAGTTTGAAGTCATGTATTGTGATACCTACAGTGTTGCTCTTTTTGCTCAGTATTGCCTTATCCGTTTGTGGTCTTTGTACTTCCAAATGACCTTCAGGGTTGGTTTTTCAATCTTGTGATGAATGTCATTGGAATTTTTTTTTGGGAATTTGCATTGAACATGTAGATTGCTTTTCACTATGTTGGTTCAACCAATCTATGAGCATGGGAGATCTTTCCACCAGCTGTAGTCTTTTTCAATAGTTTATAGTTATCTTGTAGAGATCTTTTACATCCTTTGTTAAGTTTATTCCTATGTATTTTATTTTCTGAGGTTATTGTAAATAGAATTATTTTCCAATATTCTTTCTCAATATGTTAATTATTGGAGTATAGAATGGCTACTGATTTTTGTAAGTCAATTTTGTATCCTGTAACTTTGCTGAAGCTGTTTATGGTGTCTAGGAGCATTTTGGTGGAGTTTTTCTGATCTTTTAGATACAAGATCATTTCATCTGCAAATAGGGGTAGTTTAACTACTTCCTTTCAAATTTGTATTCCTTTTATTTCTTCTTTCTGTCTTATTTCTCTGGATAGGAATTCCAAGATGATGTTGAATAAGAGTGGAGAGAGTGGACACCTTTGTCTCCTAGCTGACTTTAGAGGGAATGTTTTCAGTTTTTCCCAATTTAATATGATGTTGGCTATAGGCTTGTCATATATAGTCTTTATTATGTTGAGGTATATTTCTTTTTTTCCTAGTTTCATCAGATCTTTTATCATGAAACGATGTTGAGTTTTGTCAAAGGCTTTCTCTGTATCTATTGAGATGAGCATGTGTTTTTTGGCTTTTCTTCTGTTAATATGCTGTATTATATTTAATGATTTGTGTAGGTTGAAACACCCCTGAATCCCTGTGATGAAATCAACTTGATCACTGTGTATGATCTTTTGGATATGCTGTTGGATTCAGTTTGGCAATATTTTATTGAGGATTTTTGCATCTACATTCACTAAAAAGATTGACCTACAATTCTCTCTCTCTCTTTTTTTGTTGTCCTGTCCTTGTCAAGTTTACAGATGAGTGTAATACTGGCTTCATAGAATGAATTTGGCAGTGTTCCTTCCCCTACAATTTAGTGGAAAAGTTTGAGGAATGTTAGTGTTAATTCTTTTTATACTCTTCATTGTTGTGTTGGGTGGGGGGTACATTGTGACATTTACAAAGGTTCTTACAATGCATCAAATATATCATACTAGGATTCACCCCTCTACTGCTCTCCTTTATCCCCACCTCTCCTCAATTCCTGGAATAGTTTCAAAAGGTATCCTTTTTGCATTTACATACATGTGTATACACTTTTTGCACCCTCCTATCCCTTTAACTACCATCTCTCCCTTCCCACTGGTACCAATCTTCCCCCCAACACACCCTGGTCTGTCCTCCTATTCTCCAATTTTGTAAAAGAAAAAAGATAAAAAGAAAAAAAATGAACATTTTGCTTGTTTGAGATAAAGGTATCTAGACAAGAAGTTTCCTTGTGGTAGTTCCATGTATATATGTATTATTACTCCAATTGGTTCATCTTCTGTAATATTCTTCATTCCACCTTAGTCCCTTTCTTGTGGTAGTTTCAGTCAGTTTAAGAGTTCTAAATTCATTCTTGTATAGGTAATGTAGCAATCATATTCAACTTCTTAGTTTCCTTCTTTTACCCTACCTGTCCCATATGTGACTTCCCTTTAGTGTGAACAGTGTTTCATACTATTGCTGCATTTGTATTAGGTTTATATTCCACATATGAGAGAGAATATCTGGTTTTTGGCCTCTGAGCCTGGCTAGCTTCATTTAAGATGATGTTGTCTGGTTCCATCATTTACCTGAGAATGACAAAATTTCATTCCTCTTTGTGGCTGAGCAAAATTTCATTGTACATAAATATCAAATTTTTTTTAATCCATTCATCAGTATAGTGGGGCATCTTGGCTATTCCCATAACTTAGTTTTTCTTTAAAGGTCTGGTAGAGTTCAGCGGAGAATCTGTCAGATCCTGGACTTTTCTTTTTTGGGAGACTCTTTATTGCAGCTTAGATTTCATTGTATGTTATAGATCTGTTAGGTGATTAATATCCTGGTTGGTCCAGTTTCAGATGGTCATATGAACCTAGAAATTTGTCCATTTCATCTAGATTTTCCAGTTTATTTGAATATAGGTTTTCAAAATAATCCCTGCTGATTTCCTGGATTCCTTTGGTGCTTATTGTTAATTCCCCTTGTTTTTTTCTAATTATATTAATTTAGTTCTTTTTCCCTCATTTTAGTCAGATTTGCCAGGGGTTTGTCAATCTTGTTTATCTTTTCAAACAACCAGCTTTTTTGTTCCATTGATTCTTTATATGGTTTTTTTTGATCTCTATTTCATTGATTTTGGCCCTCATTTTTTTTTTATTTCTCTCCTTCTGCTAGTTTTGAATTCAGCTTGTTCCTAATTTTCTAGGAGTTTAGAGTGCAGCATTAGGTCATGTATTTGAGTTCTTTTTCTGTTTTTAATATATGCACTCATGGCTATAAACTTTCCCCTTAGGACTTTCTTTTCTGTGTTCCATAGGTTCTGATAGGTTTAGCTTTCATTCTCATTAAGTTCCAAAAACTTTTTGATTTCTTCCCTTATTCTTCAATGACTCACTCATCATGGAGCAATGTGTTATTCAGCCTCTAGGTGTTTGAGTATTTTGTGCTGTTTCTTTTGTTGTTAAATTCTAGTTTTATTGTGTTATAATCAGTATGTGGGGTTATTTCAGTTTTCTTATATTTGTGAAGTTTTGCTTTGTGACCTAAACTATGGTCTATTTTGGAGAAAGTTCCATGAGCTGCTAAGAAAATTTATATTGTTCTGTTAGAGGATGGAATACTCTATAGATACCTGGCAGGTCCATAGATCTAAATCTATGGTGCCATTCAATTCTAGAGTTTCTTTGTACATTTTTTCTTTCTTTTTGGTCTGGTTTACCTATCTGTTGGTGATAGAGGAGTATTGAAGTCTCCCACCACCATTGTATTGAGGTCTATCTGTGTTATTAAGTCCAGTAATGTATGTTTAATGAAGTTGGGTGTACCAACATTGGGCACATATAAGTTAGCAATTGTTATTTCCTCTTATATTGCTCCTTTTATTAGTATGAAGTGACCTTCTTTGTCTCTTCCAACTAGTTTAGGTTTGAAATTACTTTTATCTGATATAAGAAGTGCCTGTTTTGGGGGACCATTATCTTGGTCAATCTTCTTCCACCCTTTCACTCTAAGGCAATGTTTGTTTCTCTCCACAAGGTGGGTTTCTTGTTAACAATAGACTGTTGGGTCTTCCTGCTGGCTAGTGTCTTTTGATGGGGAGTTGAGCCCATCAATATTCATTAATTTTTTTTTTTTGTAAAAGTTTGTGTGTGTGTGTAACTAATTCTATGCTGCCCTGTAATTATTTGTCTGATCTTCTCTTGAGGTTTGTTCCCAAACTTACATTGTTATATTTGTTTTCATCTTCTCTGAGAAGGATTTCTTTCAGGATCTTCTGTATTGGTGGTTTAGTGGTCATGCATTGTTTTAATTTCTGTTTATCATGGAAGGTTTTTATTCCCTTCAATTCTGAATGATAGATTTGCTGGTTAGAATATCCTAGGGCTGAAGGTGTTTTCTTTCAGTGCTCAAAATACTTCATTCCATGCCCTTCTTGTTTTTAAGGTTTCCATTGAGAAATCTGTTGTTATTTTGATTGGTTTACTTTTATATGTTTGATTTTTTTTCTCTCACAGTCTTCAATATTTTTTTTTTGTTCTCTGTACTAGTTGCTTTAACAATAATATGCTGTGAAGAGGTTCTAGTTTGGTCATGTCTTTTTGGTGTCCTAGAGGCTTCCTGTACCTGAATGGGCATCTCTTTCTTGAGACTTGGAAAATTTTCTGCTACTATTTTGTCAAATATATTACATATACCTTTGGCTTGGAGCACTTTTCGAATTCCCATGATTTTTATGCTTGGTCTTTTGATGGAGTCACAGAGTTCTTGTGTATTCTTTTTTGCAGTTTTTGACTCTTTTGCCTAATGATTCTTCTGTTTTTATATATATATCTATTTTGTCTTCAAATAAATGAAATTCTGCCTTCTACTTATTGCAATCTGCTGGAGTGGCTTTCAAGTGTATTTTTCAGTTGATTTAAGGGACTTTTTATTTCCAGAATTTCTGTTTGATTTTTTTCCCTGAGACTTTCCAAATCTTTGCTATCCTTCTCTTTCATATCTTGTGTTGTCTTTTCTTTCATACACCTCTTTTTTTATGGTCTGTTTAGTTTCATTTTAGAGTTTGTTAAAATCCTCTGTTAGTTCATTGAATGTTTTCTGTGTCTTCTCTAGTTTTTGATCCATGTTCTCTTGATATTTGTTGAGTTGTTTTTGCAAGTTTTCTTTAAGCTCCTCGAACATTTTTTATCATCATTCTTCTGAAATTAGCAACTGGGGATTCATTCCCTTCACTTCCATCAACTTTTATATTATGGTAATTTTTAAAATGTTTTATTGCTAGTCTTTTTAGGAGTTGTATTCCCCTGCCTTTTTTTTCTCCCCATGTTTCCATTTTGTGCTTTGCTCTTATGCTGTTGATTAGTTAATTGGGGGTTTTAACCACCTGTTTGCTTTCCCTTGATTTAATTTTTATCCTCTGACTAGCTTAGTTGTTTGCTAAGTTGTTATAATATTTCTGTTCCCTGACCTGGAGGTATAACTAAGCAATAACAAATTCCAAAATTCAAGGCCAAAGCAGTTTTTTGCATAATATATAAGAACCCCCTTTACTTTACTGTCTATCATCAGAGGGGAATGGGGAGATAACCATTGTTTAGATAGAGATAGTTACTTGGGTAATTGAAGAAGGGACAGGGAAGGGCAATTGGATAAGGTACAGAAGAGGTGTGAGGTGTGGAGGTTGAAGGGAAATAGAGCCCTAAGTGTGTTGAGGTGTAGGTCTGTCATTGGGGAGGAAGGTGCTATTGTCAGGGATTGCAGAGGGATAGAAAAGATAGGGGTAATGCATAAAGTCGGTATAATAGACCATTCAGTGAATGGTGAGTGTGGAGGAGGTAGGGACAGTGGGGTGGGGAAGGTACAGGGAGGAGACAAGGGAAAGCAGAAGAAAGGAGAGAATAGAAGAAAAGAGAAGAAAAAAGTTAGGAGGAGAGAAAGGAAAGTGGGGCAAGAGAGGGCTAAGCCACATTAATATTTGGTCAGAATGGAAGAGAGAGATAGGTGATAATAGATTGTAAAAAAAAAAAAAAAGAAAAAAATTAAGAAACTAAAAATAAGAAATGGGCAAATGAACTGAGCAGAGCCTTCTCTACAGAAGAAGTCCAAATGGCTAAAAAACACATGAAAAAATGCTCACCATCCCTGGTATAAAGGAAATGAAAATCAAAACCACACTAAGATTCCACCTCATTGCCATAAGCATAGCTAGCATCAAGAAACAAACAACAGCAAATGTTGGTGAAGATGCGGGAAAAAGAAACCCTCATACACTCCTGATGAGAATGTAAGGTAGTACAACCCCTATGGAAATCAATATGGAAGATACTTTAAAAAACTAAAAATAGATCTGCCATACAATTCAGCAATACTCTCCAAGGGATATACCCAAAAGATTGTGAGTCAGCTTACAACAAAAGCACCTGTACACAACAGTGTTTATTGCAGCACTATTGACAAGAGATAACTAAGCTATGGAAACAGCCAAGATGCCCCACTACTGATGAATCAATTAGGAAAATGTGGTTTTTGCATACAATGGAATTCTACTCGGCCACAAAGAAGAATGAAATTTTGTCATTTGCAGGCAAATGGATAGGATTGGAGAACATGATCTGAAATGAAAATAGCCAAACTCAGAAGGCCAAAAATTGCATTTTCTCTCTCATGTGTGGAATGTAAACCTAATACAAATGCATATGAAACACTGGTCACAGTACAGGGAGGTCATGCACAGGAGGAATAGGGAAACTAAGAACTTGAATACAATTGATATACCTTCTATAGAAGAATTAATATAGAAATCTTAAACCCAATGATACTACCATAAGTAAAGGGCTAAGATAGAATGAAGAAAATTAGAAGCGATAAACCATTTAGGGTTATAATACATATATACATGGAAATACTACAAGGTAACTCCCCGTGTAGCTACCTTCATCTCAAACAAGCTATAATGTCATGCTTTTCTTTTTATCTTTTATCTTTTTTCTTCTACAAAATCAGAGTGTGGAACAGGTCCTGCCCAGGGGGGGAGGGCTAGTATTAGTGGGAGGGGGAGAGGTGATGGGAAAAGAGAGTGTGTGTGTGTGTGTGTGTGTGGGGGGGGTGAATACAATGCAAAAACTGTATGTAAATGAGGAAATGATATCTGTTGAAACTATTCCAGGAATCAGGGGAAAGGAGGGACAAAGGAGAATGGTGGAGGGGTAGAATTCAAGTGTGATATGATACATTGTAAGAACCTGTGTAAATTCCACAGTGTGCCTCCACCCAGCACAACAATAAAGGGAAAAAAGATAAATAATAATAATAATAAATTAAAGAAAAAAAGAAAAAAAACAGTTCACTGAACATTCTGGATTCTTTCCTCTGATTTCAAATCTAGATGCTGACACTTTTGACTGAGGCTCTCTCAGTGTCTCTGTCCCTTCATATAGTAGGTTTGTTGGGCAGTGTGGCAATGGATGTTGCCCTTCCCTGTCATACAGCTTTTGGGGGAAAATGCATCAGGGTGTTTGAGCCCAGGCTTTCCTTGGTGGTATGGTGCCCTCCCACAGTCTAGGTTAACTCAGCATTCTGCCTCACCCCCCACAAGCTAAGTCAGCTCAGCTTTCCACTCTAACCCCACACAGGCTTGGCCAGCTCAGCATTTGGTTACACCCTCACATGGGCTAAGTCAGCTCAGCATTCTGCCCCACCCCTGCCAGACAGGGGTGAATTGTTCCCTCCATTTATGTGGCCACCAGTTTGTCCAGGGGGGTGCAATCTGCCCACAGGCTCCACTGAACTATGTGGTTCCCTCAAGGGAAGGTGATGTGTTGTCCTCCTACCTGGCAGGGTTGAAGATTCTCTTGGATGGAATTGGGTCAGCTCCGGCAGGGCACAGGTAGGCAGGAGTCTAAAGTTCTGTGTCTTTGTAATATGGCAGGTCCAGGACATCCTAGATTCTTGCTTAACTCGTTCTGCAGTTCTCTACATTGAGTCTTTGCTTTTCTCAATCAAGAAAAAGGAAGTGAGGAAAAAAAAAGGGGGAAGAACGGCTTTCTGGCAGGCAAACCCACAGCTGTGCCTGTTCCAGTCCCTGCTGAGACTTCTCCAGCTTTTTATGTGCAATAAAAAGCTAATTTAAGGGTTGCTCATTCCTTTTCCTATCTCCGCACCAAACCCTCCCTTTGTACTTCCTGTTCCCCTGTGCAAGTTCTATTAGCCTCTAAATCAGCTTCTAAACCAACCAAATCCTCTCCCGAACCTCCTCCTTCCCCATGTAAGCAGACTTCCTTGTGCTTCTTGCCCTGCCTGTCTCTTCTTATCTTCCTGAGGACTTTCCCATCATGGTATCCAGCCAGCAGCTCCTTGCCAACTCTGGCCTCAAGGCGATTCCAGCTCTGGGGGAGCTTGTAAGCTGTTATCTCAAGGTTATTGTTGGGCCCCAACTAGGAAAAAAATAACAGATGTGGGGCCCCGTTTAAAAAATAACAGGGACATCGTCATTTCAGGCTCAGGCTCCTTTGTTCCTTAGCACTGACCTGAGCACCACCACTCACCTGGAATGCTCCATAACCTGGGCATGAACCCTCCTCTGGAATGCACCACCTCAGCCCTGATCCAATCCTAATTGAGCAAAGCAGGCCCTTGCCCAAGGTGACCATAAAAAAGAATAACTCTGGCCACACTCCTGATGACCAAGACACAATGGAGTAAAAACCAATTCCAATATGCCAAGACCCCCTCACCTGAATAACATCCAACCTGTTTACCCCTAGAATGAGAAGTCCTGCCTCCTGCCTTTCCCCAATAAAAACCCTGCTGAGGTGAGGCTTGGGGCTCTCTGTGCAGATCTGCTGTGTTGGTGAGGTCGGAGAGCCCGAGCTTAAGCCTGAATAAAGGCTCTTTGTTTTTGCATGTGACTTCAGACTCCTGAGTGGTCTTTTGGGGTCTTGTGATCTGGGTACAACAGTTATAGTCTCAGGAACAACAAAATGGGCGTTACTGTGGTCTCTAAACTTCTCATTTAAAATTTTCTATACTTTCTGGCTCAGCATAAATTTTCCCTCCAAATATTAGCACTAGTCATCCCTGTGGTATTGTTATTGCCCAAGGATGCCCTCTGAATGCCTTTCTCTAACTCTACAGACGATGTATTCCTTTGTTAAAAAGGTAGCCTTTATTAAAGAGGCTGCCAGCTTTTAGCTAAAAGACAGGATCCTAGCATTTTGTTCTTTCTAGATGAGACCTGCCCCTTCCAGTCTCTGGCTTGTAAATGTTGGAAGCTTTGTACTAAGGCCTGGCCTCAGTATGCCTTGGGTGACCAAGAGAAGTGGCCTTCACAGGGTTCCTTAAATTACAATACCATGCTCCAACTAGACCTTTTTTATAAAAGGAAAAGTGAGCTGAGATCCCCTATACAAATTTTCTTTCATTTCTGAGACCATCCAGATTGGCTCCATGATTACTATCTAGGTACTCAAACACTGGCCATTCTTTGTAAGCCACAGGATAAACATGGAAAGGAGAACCAAAAGGCCCCTTATCAATGACAAGTCCCCCCACCCCTACTGCTCCACCCTCTGCCCTACCTTCTAGGCCATCTTAATATTCAGAACCTCCAAATGGGTGCTTCCCCCTTCAACAGGCAATGGTAGGAAGAGGGTAAGTCTATGTCCCCTTCCAGCTATCAGATCTAAGGGAAATTAAAAATCATCTGGACAGCTATATTGATGACCAGACAAATACGTTCAAGCGTTTATCTCTGTGATCCAAACCTTTGAATTGGCATGAAAGGATATTATGCCTCTACTAGACCAGACTCTTTTCTCATTAGAAAGGCAATGGGTTCTGGCCCAGGCCACTCAGGTTGGAAATGATTACCATTTACAATGAGCCCCAATACTAGTGGAGCCTAAAAATGAGGGAATAAACATGCCTATACCTACAGGGGCACAGGCAGTCCCCTTGACAGATCCATACTAAAAGGGGCTGGTGATATGGCTCAAGCAGTAGAGTGCCACTTTGCAGACATAAAGTCCTGAGTTCAAGTCCCAGTACAGCCAAAGGAAAAAAAAATATTTGGGGATGAGGACATAGCTCAGTGGGAGGGTGTCTGCCCAGCATGTGCAAGGCCCTGGGTTCAATTCCCCAGCATTGGTAAATTAAAAAAAAATGGTAAGGAAGATAAGTGGCATTAATGTCACTTCAGACATCTCATAGTGGAAGAAAGTAGTTTAACCTAGACCAGATCCCTCATTCTTCAAGTGAGGAAACTGAGGCCCAGAACAGTTCAGAGACCTGCTCTCCAGAGTGTCAGGTGTCAATGTAAAATAACAACTTTGCCTTACAGCAATGTCCTGAAGAAAACTCCCTTACCTTTCTATAGCATCTTAAGGATGCTGTCAGAAAGCATACCACGGTGGACCCAGAGTCACAGGTGAGAGAAGTTCTCCTCAAAGATAAATTTCTAACTCAGTCAGTCCCAGATATTCATAAAAAACTCAAAATCTGTGGCTGAAAGGAAAAAGTCATTGAATCAACTAATACTACTAGCTGTATGTATAGCTATGTCTGTATCTCTGTATGTCTGGGAACTTACTAACAGGAGAGAAAAAGATAAGAGACATCATAGCCTAATTGCTGCTCTCAGAGAAGTCCCCACCTGACTGGGGCCTGCATCCTGAACTTACTAACATGGTGGACAGGAGGGGCACTTCTGCAGGGAATGCTTAAGGAGGGGGCAGCCTGGGAGACAGTCCCACCCCCAACTGGGACCCTGCCCTCTCTGCAAAGGTAACCACTGGAGGTCTAAGTGCCCGGCCTCTTGTCCATGCAACACTTCTTGGCATCGATATTGAGGAGCTTTGTGGTAGCCATAATGGCAGAAAAGCGAAAGGTCATTTTCATGCTAGACAGTGGAGCTCATTTCTCTGTCTTACCTTTCTCTCCGGATCCCCAGTAAAATGACAAAACATATCATTTGGGGCAAATCTGGCCAGCCCCTAAAGCACTGTTTTACCTGGCCTCTGGCCTGCTCTTGGGGAGACCTCCTCTTCTGTTATTCTTTCCTCATAGTTCCTGAAACTCCAGTGTCCCTGATGGGATGCGATTTACTATCTCAACTAAAAGCTCAAATTCTCCTCCCACTAGGCAGCTATTTCTCCTGCCCCCTCCTTTAGGAACAAATAAATTGCACAGTGTGGACTGATGAGATGAGTGTAGGGAGATCCAGGATGGCCCTCCTTATTCAAATAAAGCTCAAAGATCCCTCACAGTTTCCACACCCAAAAACAATATCCCCTCAAGCCTGAGGGACACGAGACCTTATGCCTATCATAAATTCCTTATGATTGCTCCAGCCCCAATAAGAAATTTAAAATTCTATAAAAGTTAATTTTAAAATACAAGTTACAAAGTAAACAACTGTAAAGGGTATAGAGAGGTATTAAATGTATTTTTTTTTGAGAAGTTAAAGGAAAAAGGAATGTTTTTGGATGAGAAAGAATTTTGTAAAGAAGGGTTTGTCCTAAAGATTGTTTCAAATAGGAGGGATAAGGACAATCCATCAAACAGTTTAGTTCTCCTACAGGATATTCGACCCTCTCCATTGGGACTTTGATGGACCAGCCCTCATCTGGGCTCACAACACCCACTGCTGTCAAGTTCAATGGGATCCCCCAGTGGCAGCACCTCTCAAGGAACAGTTAGAAAAACAGAGAAGGGAGTTGGGGGACTCTTGGAATCCTCTAGGGAATGACATTTCACAGTGGTTCTCCTGGCTAATACCCATCCTGATGTCTATCATTCTTGCTCTCCTATTTTTAAGCTTCCTCCCTTGTATCATAAAAAGAATACAAAGATTTCTCTTAGACTGCATGTCTGCTACTGCTAATCAAAAGTTTAACCAGTTGTACATCCAGGGGTATAAACCTCTCCAAAACCGTCCAGAGGACTGCTGTAAGGACCCTACCAGGACACAGGAGTCTGAGGATGTTGCCCCACACAACGTCCACAGCCAGCAGGAAGCAGCTTAGAGTCCAATGCTTTGCCCCAATTCCCGATCCTCAGCCCCTACCCTCATCATTATTAAAGAAAAAATGGAATGATAGAACAATAATGTCACCATTTTGTGAATCGGTGGCCATTTTATCCTCAGGCCTCATTTGAGAAATGGAGCCACTCCCAATGACAGCCCTACCCTTAAACAGAAATTCCCATGCTCTGAGAGAAGCTCCACCCCTACTGGAGACTCCTGTGCATGTGCTAACTTCCTTAACCTCCCTCTTCTATAAAAGCCACACCTAGCCCAGAGTCTGTGCTCTGCCACCTTTCCCCAGCCAGACTGGCAGTGTGGGCCTGCCATTAAACCTTGCTCTTGGATGTCAGACTTTTCTCCTGAACTTTCTTTGTGAGCAGCATTTTTCCTAACAAATCTTATGTGCATCCTGTGAATTTCTTTTTCAAAAAAGTTTGTTATTGATGTATAAATATGCTACTATTCTTATGTATTGATTTTGTATCCAGCAGTTTTACCAAATTTATCAGTCTTAACAAATTTCAGGTATTTATATATAAAATTATGTTATATGCAAATAAGAATAATTTGATTTTCTCCTTTCCAATTTAGATGCTCTATATTACAGCTCCAAATTGCACTAGTTATGACTTCCAATATTATTTTCAACAAGTGGTGAATATGGACATCTGAAACTTGGTCCAGATCTTACATGAGGTGCTTTCAGGTTTAACTTGTTCAGTGGGATATTGGCTATAAGTTTTTCATGTATAGCCTTTATGGTTGAAGCATGTACCTTTTGTACCTATTTTTTTAGGGAGGGTTTTTTTTTTTTTTATTGTTTTTGTTAGGGTGAGCAGAAAGTCCTGAGGCTATGTAATCTTTAACCAGGCCCTCTGTTCCATAATTGCTTGTGAACTCCCT